ATCTCATCAAATGTCTTCCTCTCCTTCGCCGCCCCTCCACTCTGCCAAACATGATGTCCCTATCCAAGGACCAGTCCCTCCTTGCAACATTCCCAAAGCACATCAGACGAAGTTTCAGAATCCTTGACTCCAGGGAACATTCTGGCTTCACCCTCTCCAGGACAAACATGTTTGTTCTCTTAGCAGTCCATGGTATATTCAACACTGTTCTCCAGCACCATAGCTCAAAGGCATCAATTCTCTTTCTATCAACCCTATTCACTGTCCAACTCTCTGATGCATAGCATGTAATTGCGAAGACTATAGTCTGGATCAGGCGCACCTTAGTCTCCAGCCTGACATCATTGCTTTTCAGTATTCTTGAGAGGTCCCTCACAGCTGACCTTCCTAATGCAATACATCTCTTGATTTCCTGGCTGCTGTTACCAAGAGTGCTGACTGTGATGCCAAGTAAATTAAAACTGTTAACTATCTCCATCTCTTCACCATCCATGCCGATGCTGCCAATTGGTCCAGTGGTTAGAATCTTTGTTTTCTTGATGTTGAGCTTCAGTCCATAGAGGAGGCTGTAGTCCTTGATCTTCTGCAACAAGTGCTTTAGATCCTCCTCAGTTTCAGCAAGCAGGGTTGTGGCATCTGCACAACACAGGTTGTTGATGATTCTTCCACCAATTGTGATGCCATATTCCTCTTTGTATAGACCTGCATCTCAGACGATCTGTTCTGCATACAGATTGAAAAGGTATGGAGACAGAATGCATCCCTGATGAACCCCCTTCTTGATTTTGAACCACGTAGTGTCTCCTTGCTCTGTTATGATCACTGTCTCTTGGTCCAAGTATAAGTTTCACATTAGCACAATCAAATGTTCTGAGAGTCCCATTCTTCTCAGAGTCAGCCACAGCTTGTTGTGATCCACACAGTCAAAAGCCTTTGCATAGTCAATGAAGCACAGATAGTCATTCTTCTGGTACTCTTTGGTTTCTTCCAAGATCCATCTAACCTTAGCTATAATACCCCTAGTACCACAGCCTCTTCTAAATCCAGCCTGCACATCTGACAGTTCTCTGTTGACATATTGTTCCAAACATTTTTGGATAATTTTCAGCAGAATCTTGCTTGTACGTGATATCAATGAAATTGTTTGATAATTTCCACACTCTGTTGGGTCACCTTTCTTTGGAATGGGAACAAATATCGATCTTTTCTAGTCAGTGGGCCAATTGACTGTCCTCCAGATTCCTTGGTACAACTTCGTGAGCACATTCCCCGCCAGTGTCTGTTTGTTGAAATACGTCAATTGGTATGCCGTCAACTCCTGGATCCTTTTTTGCCAATTCCTTCAGAGCAATTTGAACTTCCTCTTTCATCACTATAGGCTCTTGCTTATATGTCATTTCATGAAATTCTTCTGTGTCAGCCAATTCCTTCTGATACAGTGACTCTGTGTATTCCTTCCATCTTCTCTTGATACTTCCTGCATCATTTAATATTCTTTCCAAAGTATCCTTAAGTATTGCCACCCGTGGCTTGAATTTGCTTTTCAACTCCTTCAGCTTAAGAAACGCTGAGCGAGTTCGGCCCTTTTGATTTTCTGACTCCAGCTCTCTGCACATTTCACTATAGTATCTTGCTTTGTTGTCCCGGGATGCCTCTTGAAATTTTCTATTTACCCCTGATTTCTTGGTTTCTTCCTTTAGCTTTGGCTTCTCAGTGCTCTAATGCAGTATTCAGAGTCTCATTGGACATCCATCTTGTTCTTACATCGTTACTTTAAAATGAATGAGTATCTCTCTGTTCTGTTGTTTTTGAGTGTTTATTTTAGGTGTTGTCAAGTAAAGTATGACTCATAGCAACACTGTGAGCAACAAGTGCAAACTCTATCATATCCTGTGTTATCCTTAAAATCTCTGACACATTCAAATCCATTGCTGCAGGTACTCTCTCAATCCACTTGTTTAATGGTTTTCCTCTCCTTGGCTGTCTCTCTGCCTTTCCAAGTGTGATGTCCCTCTCCAAAAAATAGCCTCTCTGAAATACAGGCCCAAAGTCATTGAGTTGTTGTTGTTATGTGCCATCGAGTTACTTGTGATTTATAGTGACCCTATGTACAATTGTTCTGAAACCTGCTCTATCCTGTGCCAACCTTATTGTCTCTAATACTTCTACCCACATTATCGCAGTCACTGAGTCAATCCATCTCATCGAGGATCTTCTTCTATTGTGCTGTCCTTCCACCCTCCCAAGCATTACGTCTCTCTCCATGGATTGGTCCCTGTTTACAGCATGCCCAAAGTATGTCAGACAAATCTTCAGAATACTTGCCTCCAAAAAAAGCCTGGTTTTACCCTCTCTAAGCTTTATCATCTTTGCCTTCAAGGAGCACTCTGGCTACACCTTCTTCAAGGTAACTCTTTGTTCTTCTGGCAGTCCATGGAATACTCAACACTTTTCTCCAAAAGTTCAAAGGTACCTATTCTTCTTCTCTCATTCTAACACTTCTCAGATACATAGCAAGCATCTGAAAAGTATGATAAGAATCAGGCACACCTTCGTTCTCAAACTAATGTCATTGCTCCTCAGTAGTTTGGAGAGGTCCTTAATCATAGAATTTCCCACTGTAATATGTCCCCTGATCTCCTAACTGTGGGTACCAAGTTTACTGATTATGGATCCAAGAAAGATGAAATCATTAACAGTTTCAATCCTTCCCCATCTACCATGATGTTGCCTATAGATCCAGTGGGGGCAGTCTTTGGTTTTCTTGATATTTAGATGTAATTCATATAGAAGAGTGCAATGCTTAACTTTCTGCAGCAAGTGCTACAGGTCCTCTTCAATTTCAGCAAGCAAAATTGTGTAGGTTATAAAGAAGATTAAAGTGAAGGCTATTGATGAGTCGTCCTTCAATTCTGATGCCATATTCTTTTCAAAGACTCCAGCTTTCAATAATTTACCCAACATACAGATTAAATAGTTATAGAGAAAAGATACCACCCTGCTCACATTTTCCTAATTTTAAACCACACAGTGTTCCTGTGCTCTGTTCACAAAACAGCTTCTCAGTCTAAATATAGGTTTCATATGAGCACAATTAAGTGTTTGGGATTCTCATTCTTCTCAATGTTAGCAATAATTTGTATGATCCACACAAATGCCTTTGTGTAGTAAGTCAAACACAAATAGAAAGTCTTTGATATGCTTTGCTTTCCATCAGAATTAATCTGACAGCACCGACAATATTCTCATCTCATGACCTTTTCTAAACAAGCTTGGATGTCTGGCATTTCTCTATGTAAACTTTTAGAAGTGTTTTAATGTCCTTGAGTAGTAGTTTACTTGAATGTGATCTGAATGATATTGTTAACTATTTTCACATTCTGGTGATTCCCTTGTCTTGGGAATGGAAATGAATATGCTGTATTTAGTAGTAATTTAAAAATGGGAAATAAGTGTTTGTAAAAATCACAAAAAAATTGTTAGAGATATGGCATCTGAGTTAGCAGCACAACTTTGTATGAACTGCACCATCAGAACTTGTTGATAAGAAAGGATTAAAAATATCAATGGGAAAAAAAGAAAATACTTTTGTAGCTCATAATGTTATTTTGGATGAGTATATTGATTAGAGGCTGATTGAAGCATTAATTAAATCAATTTGCCTTAAAACAATTCTGATTTTACATCAGTTTATTATAACTTGCTAGAGACCTTGATCTCATGTGCTCATGAATGGTAATTTACTTAATTGAATGCTTTCATGGGTTGTTTGAGGGCTACTCAGAAAAGACAAAAAAAAAAAAGACAAAAGAAATGAAAAGCAGACAAATAACAGCTTTTGAAGTACGTGGAAGGAAAATACAGCTTTTTCAGCAAAGTACTCAACTAGACTAAAAATGGAATAATGCAGTAAGATTTAAGACTTTTCTTTCCCCTCTTACTTTACAGTCTACCAGTTTTTCATGATAAGAAAGGTTTTGAATTAAGCCGTAATATCATAAACAGCTAGAGACTCTCTTTCAAAAGTACTTGGGAGCTTTTCAACATGGAAATGGACTTAAACATAATATTTAGAAAATAGTTGCTTTCCTCCAAATGGAACTAAAATACATCTGTCTTTTAAAGACTGCATTACAACTTCCTACATTTTAGTTTTGAGGGAGGAAAATTCTTTTACAACTATCTATTCCAGTAGTCCTGAGGTACAAAAACTAGAGACCATTCTACAGATTGAATAAATGGTCAATTCTTAAGTTATTTTTGGCCTTTCATGGATACACGCAATGGAGACTATACTTTAAATCCTCTCTAGGATAGTTTTATTTCTTTTTTTCCCCCCTTCAAAGGCTGTTTCCTGCATAGTTTGTCTCCTCAGTTGCTGTCCACAGGACTCTGAAAAGCTGTAGATATATGCAGATTCAAGGCCCAACTTTAACTCGAGTGTTGTGGAAAGGGATTTGTACATCTCTGGGTAGATCCCTAAAGTCCCACATGCCACCTGGACAGACCCTGGGGAGAGTGACCTCCCAGGAATATCCATGTTTGAAGGACAGGTATATTTCTGTGAAAAATAGAATGAAGGCTTATTTTTGTTCAATGATCATCATTTCTTGTGAAATATGTAATGCAATTGTGCAGGCTACAATATCATAATAGTAGAATACGACTGTGTGTGACTGAAGACTAGAAAAATAATACAATATTACAGCTCCATGAGACTAAACTTTCATGGGTTAAAGAAAAATATGTTGTTATATGTCGTCAATTTGTTGGCAACTCATAGCAACCCTGTATACAAGAGTCCTAAACACTAGTCTATGCTGTGCCAACCTCCCCGTCTCTAGCACACTCACTTTCACCACTCCAATCACAGAATCGATCCATCTCATCTAGGGTCTTCCTCTCTTGCTCCAGCCCTCCACTCTCCCAAACATGATACATTTAAAATTTACAAGCATTTATTTTTACCAACGGATAGTCAATTTATTAAAATAGTTGATTTAGACATCTACAGTGGTGACTTCAACCTCTACCCCAGGCTCAATGCTGAGGGAGGTGATCTGCTTGACAATCTCAGAAGGACTGTGTAAGTCAATGAGTCGCTTGTGGATCCACATCTGGAAACGATCCCAGGTCCTGGAACCTTCCCCACAAGGAGTCTTCCTTGTAGTGATTCTCGGAGTCTTGGTAGGCATCCTGACCGGTCCCTTCACCTTCAGGTTCTTCTCCTTTGCGCCTCTGATCAAGTCGGCACACACCTTCTCCAGGGATTTTACGTTGCGGCTGGTTACGGTAATCCTAATTCGGTGAATGGCCACCTCCGGTTCCACAGGAGTCTTTCCGGTGTCCTTAAAAGCCATGGCTGCGGCGCGGCTTCCTGACCGACTTGTTCCCCGAAGAGAGCGAACAGCGGTGAGCCAGGAACAGGAGCGGGAGAACACCGCACACCTGCAAGAGCGATCGCATCTTCCTTAGAGAGGCTACAAGCAAATATTTAATGGAACCTTTTTAATACAGATAGCTGGAAAGGAGACCATTTTATTGTGAGATGTAGAAATTGACTTAGAACTTAAATATTTATTAATGGAATGAAAGGTCACTTTGATAGCTTTGTATCCAAAGCAGACACATTTAAAAATATTCCATCTAAAGACACATAAAGTCCACCAGCTCTTCCATGGGAAAATGATGGCTTAATCTCCTCCCATGAGATTAACTGACTCTGAAAACTGCTTCAGGGTTAGCTATTGGTGGTTCGGAATCAATGGTACACAACAACAAAAACAACAACAAATTATGGTCTTGAGTTCTTGTCTAAATTCTTTGTTTTCACTTGATCATAGCCAAAAGGTCGAGATGTGATCAATCCTTTGTTTTCAACTGAACTTAACTGTAATTGTTCTGTACATAGTTAAAATTATTATTTCATCTTAATCTTTTTAATAGCAGACATTGCAATGCCACCTGCAAATTTTGAATTTTGATACAAGGAGCCTGTAAAGTTACTTTGTCTGGCAAAAGGGTCTTAACATGTATGATTAAAGGTCTTGAGCTAGTAAAATTGTTATGCTTTAGCTGGTTGAGCTCATAAATATGCTAATGACAAGAGTTTCCCTCAGTGAAAGTCAGGAAAAAAATATGAAAGAGAAGAATAGAAAGTAATATGAGTACAGAGGCAGAGATTAGTGTTATGTAAGCACAAAAACCAAAGGATGCTAGCAATTTCCAGAAGGTAAAAATGATAGAATCCAGGTAGATTATTTTGTAAAACTTGAAAAAAAAATTTGGTGCCACTCACTGACACTAATTTTAGTGTTCTTAACTTTGTAAAAAATTAATAAAGGATTTTGTCACCCAGAATTCTGAGAGAATAAATTTCTGTTGTTCTATGTTACTGTTCATATGGTATGTGCTAATTAGTTAAAACAGTGCTGAGAAATATGTCCAGAGTGTGTAGGATGAAGCCTCATCATCCTCTTTCTTAAGGAACCCTCTGAGTGTTCTTGCAAGCAAATACTCCCGTAGACCACACCATGGTATATTCAATGCTCTCTACCAATACCATTATTCACATGCATCAATGTCACTTCATTCTTTCATTGATCAACTTTCATGTATTTAAGATGACTGAAAATACTGTATCTCTTTTGACTTGAGAGTTATCTTAGGTTTCAGAGTAAATCTCTGCTTTTTTTTTTACAGGTAGGATATAACGTCAGTACATTTACCCACTGAAATATGTTATTTAACCTCCTGAATACTATTTTCACAAACATATAAGTGGTACATTCAAGGAAAATGTCATAAATTTTCATAATTTTTTTTTTGTAGATATGAATTAGCCCTTAGGTCACTCCAATTTCAATGATTTGTATGTCTTCAAGTATATGTTGTTATGCACTGTCAAGTGTTTTTGCAAATCTCAGTGAGCCTATGCACAATAGCTAGGAACCAAGCCCTATCCTGAACAAACCTCACTGTCTCTGACACACTTGCCTCCTTTACCCAGGTCATTGTGTTAATCTATCTCATCCAGGCTCTTCCTCTCCTGCACTGTCCCCCCACCCTTCCAAGTATGCTTTTATTATTATTATTAATTTTAATGAAAGTTTACAGAGACTTAGGGTTTCCAGTCATTCACTGTTGCACTTTTCTCCCTGCCCACCCCCATCTCCCAATTCACTCTTTTCCTTGAAAAGTAAAAGAAAAACTCTTTTGTTGTCATGCAATCCCTCCCCTCAAGTCCACTCCACTGTGTAGCCTTCATTCTGGACTCCTGTCATGACAATAATACCCAGCCATATATCCCTTTTAAACAGCTATCTCCCTCATCTGTTTCAATGCAGTATACATCATTCCTCCCCTCCTTATCTCCCTTCCCTCAGCTCTGATGTCAGTCCTGTTTTACAACATGGTCCTATGCAATATTTTTCCTTTTGTGACTGAGATATTTCACTTAGCATAATGTCCTCCAGGGTCATTAATTTTGTATATTTCATGAGTTCCTTGTTTTTGCCTTCAGGAAACACACTCAAGGTATGTGAGATGAAGTTTCAAAATCCTAGCCTCCAAGGAGCAACTTGGTTTCACCCTTTCCAGGACTGACCTGTTTGTTCTCTTGGCAATCCATGTTATGTTCAATATTCTTCTCCTGCACCACAACTCAAAGGCATCAATTCTGTCATACTTATTCATAGTCCAGCTGTATGCCTCGGAAGTAATTGAGAAGACCATGATGTGTTTCAGGCACACTTTAGTCTCCAAATTGACATCCTTGCTCTTTAGCACTCTGGAGAGGTTCCTGGCAGCACATTTTCCCGATGCAATTTGCCTTTTTCTTTCCTGACTGCCAGTGCCAAGAGTGTTGATAGAAGAAACAAACAAATTGAAATAGTTAACAACCTCAATCTCTTCTCCCTCTAACATGATACTCCCAGTTAGTCCTATGGTAAGAATTTTTTTTTCTTTGACATTGAGCTTCAATCCATATTGGAGACTGGAATCCTTGAACAAATAAAAAAATAAATAAAAATTCCCTTCAGTTTTGGCAAACAAGGTTGTATCATTTTCATAGCGCAGGTTGTTGATGAGTCTTCCTCCAATTCTGATGCCACATTCTTCTTTATAATGTCCAGCCTACCTAATGACCTACTTCAACAGAGATTGAAAATATTGGAGACAAGATGAATCCTTGATTTTGAACCATGCAGTATTTCCTTGCTCTGGCCTGATGACTGCTTCCTGGTCTGAATACTGTTTTCACATGAGTACAATCAATCACGTGTTCCTACTTTCCCATTCTTCTCAAACTTGCCCACAATTTGTTGTGATCCACGCAGTTAAATGCCTTTGCATAGTCAATAAAACAAAGATAAACATTTTTCTGGTAGTCTATGTTTCAGCCAAGGTTCAGCTGACATTGGCTCATGCTAGGGTCTCTTCTAGATCCAGCTTCTATTTCTGGTTGTTGTCTGCCATTATACTGTTCCAGTCATTTTGGATAATCTTCAGCAAGATTTTGCTTCTGTCTGATGTCAGTGATGCTGTTTGATAATTTCCACACTCTATTGGACGACCTCTTTCTGTAATAGGAAAACAATGGATCTCTTCCAGTGAGTTGGCCAGGTAGCTGTCCCCTAGATTTCTTGGCAGTATCTGATAAGCACAGGCAAAGCAGCATCTGTTTGTTGAAATGTATCAATTGGTATTCCATCAACCCCTGGGACTTTGATTGCTACCAATTCCTTCAGAGAGGCTTGAACTTTCTCCTTCATCCCCATTGTCTCTAGGTTATATGGTGTTTCATTAAATTCTACTTAATCAGCCAATCTCTTTTTTAATTGATTAATTTTTTTTCTATACAGTGACTCTGTGTACTGTACTCCTTCCATCTTCTTTTGATGCATCCTGGATCATTTAATATTTTGCCCGTAATATCTTTAAGTATTGCATCTTGAGGCTTAAATTTGTTTTTCAGTTCCTTCACTCTATAAAATCCTGAGAATCTCTTTTGATTTTCTGACTTCAGCTATTTTATTATAATATGTTTCTTTGTTTTTCCAAGGTGAGCTTTGCAATCTTTTGTTCAGCTCCTTGACTTCCTTATTTTTCCTTTTTCTTTGTCTCCTCATCACGAGTGCAATATTCAGAGTCTCTTCTGACATCTTCTTTGGGTTTTTTCCCCCCCTTAATTTTCTGTCTTTGTAATGATCATTTTCATCATGCGTGGATGATATTCTTTATATCCTTCCGCACTTCATCTGGTTTCATTCATTCGTATCCAAGGCCTCAAACCTGTTCTTAATATGGTTTTTAAATTCAGATAGGATAGACTCAAGGTCAGATTTGTAGGTTCTTGTAGATTTGAGCTGATTTTCTATTACTTCAGTTTGAACTTGCATAACTTGCATAGTTGAAAGTCTGTTACACAATCAATACCTTGCCAGTTTTTACAGCTGATATCGAGCTTTTCCATTATTTTTTTCCACTAATGCAATAAATCTGATTCCTGTGTGGCCTACCAGGTAGGATCCCTGCCTATAGGTGCCATTTGGGTTTCTTGTACTAAGTATTTGCAATGAGGAAATAATAGATTGTACAAAATTCTGTCATTCCATCTCCAACCTAATTTCTGTCACCAAGTATATAGGTGGTTGTTGTTGTGGTTGTTATGTGCCCTTGAGTCACCTGCAACACATAGAGACCCTCTACAGAACAACCACAAGCCCTGCTTTATCCTATGCCAATCTTATTGTCTCTAACACACCTACCGTTATTACCTGAGTAACTGAATCAATACATCACCCTTGTGCTGCCCCTCTATTCTCTCAAGCATGACAACCCTCCCTAAGAACTGGTTTCTCCTTGCAACATGTCCAAAATATGTCAGACAAAGCCAGCATAACAGCTCAAAAGCATTCATTTTCCTTCAATATGCCCTAGTCATTGTCCATCTCTCTGATTCATAGCAAGCAATTGCAAAGACTATGGGCTGGATCAGGTGCACCTTAGTCTTCCAACTGACATCATTGCTTTTCAGTACTTTGGGGAGGTCACTGACAGCAGACTTTCCCTATGAAGTTCATCTTTTAATTTCCTGGCTGCTGGGACCAAGAATGCTGTTTGTGGAGTCAAGCAAACTAAAACTTTTAACAATATCAATCTCTTCCCCATCTATCATCATGCTGCCATTCAGCCCAGTTGCGATAATGTTTTCTTTTCTTGATACTGAGCTCCAACCATTTTTAAGGCTGCAGTCCTTGACCATCTACAGCAGGTATTACAGGTCCCCCTCAGTTTCAGGAAGCAGAGTTGTCATTTGCTTGACAAAAATTGTTAATAAGTCTTCCTCCAATCCTGATGCTGCATTTCTTCTTATACAGCCAAGTCTCCCATATAATCTGTTCTGCATATAGATTTAAAAGGTATGGAGA